GGAAGAAGAGAAGGCGTACGTGTGGATTCATCTTCCTAGTGATGTGTGGCCCAGGTTAATATTTAAAATGGTCTCGAGTTCTCTGAGCACACACTGACTGTCTGCTGGGGGAGGTGGTGAGGAGAGGGACAGGTGGCATTGGGAAAGCTGACCTAGGATTAAAAATTAATTGTGCTCAATTTTTAAATTAGATTGTTGTAGGCAGATGGCTGTGAATTTTAATGTGATTTCTTATTTAACTTTTTTTTTTGTGGAGATTTAAACTCTATTATTCACCAACTAGGCAATTTATGAACTCACATTTCAGCTTTAATTCTACCTCATCACAAGTAGAATTACAGGGCTGGAGAAACTCCACCAATCATCCTGTGTTCGAAAGAACCACACCCAAAGCCAACCAAGGCAACAGGGATCGCTAACAGATTTTTTTAAGACTTCTAATTTAAGGTATTCCACAGCCAGTGTCCCTTGGGAGCAAATTCTGGTTTCCACTTTTCCATTCTGTCAGCCTCTGCTATGTTTCCTCTTCCCCTGCTCCACACAGCTGGACAGAGAAGCCACCTCCCCACCCCCAGGGCTTCCTCCTTTTCTGCCTCAGCCTTAATATCTGCGTGGGGCCCGCCATCCTGTTCTGTGGGCTGCGAAGTCACGCTTGCTGAATTGGGCCGCAGCCCTGGGCCAAAGGGGAAGGAGAGTGAAGGATTCCTGGGGAAGAAATGAAGCGAATCCTGCAGGAGGAGTAAAAGTTACTATACCCACCCAGGGTATAAGATTTGGCCTGAAAGGGACTAACCCAATTCCAGAGGCTGGCCACACTGAGGTGCTTGGTCTACTCAAGACACAGTACCCAAAGAGCAGAGAAAGCCTGGACAAATAGTGATATTAGGGTGTCCTAATTGGATGGCAGTGCATAGCAGGGAGAAATTCCAGGCAGCAGTAATAAGGCAGCATGAGATCCAGCAGACTTGCGGTTCAGGAAGAGCTGAACACACATGGAGTATATGAGCAAATGGACGAGGGCACAGAGAAGAGCATTTTTTTTTCCCAGGGAAAGAAACTAGCAAGAACAAGGCAGGGTATCAGGGCCTTGAATAAGTAAGCTGGGGGTCAGAGTAGACTTCAAGCTCTGGAGGTAAAGTGGGGCCACTTGTAATGGTCATTGCAGATGCAGCTCTCCTCATCTTGCCCACTCTCTCTGAGCACCTTACTACATCTTTGAAGTCAGTGACCACCTTGAGGACTACCATTTTGGGATCTCCACTGCAGGCCCCTTTCCTGGACTTCAGACTTTCATATCTAGCTGCCTACTGGGCCCCTCCACTTATGTGTCCAGTGAAACTCACTGGTTATTCCCAATCTGCTTCTCTCCCTGTATTCTTTAGTCTTAAGGAAGGTAGTCATTCTCAACTCTTCCTTCTTCTCACCCACCAAATGTAGTCTCCTCAAATCTGGCTGCATCTGCCTTCCAGACTGCTCCTAATTCTCTTCCCTCCTTGTTATTTCACTACTAATGTCTTCCTTCGGATCACCATTATCTCTCACCAGAGTTTGGGCTGCAGCCTCTTAACTGTTCTCCCGGCCTCTAGTTATGCATGTCCTTTGCCAATCTTTCCTCCTTGGTGCAATTTTTATTTGGTTTCTCTTTTGCTTCACCCCTTTGCTGGTGCCCATTGTCCCCAGCATAAAGTACAAAACGTATTGGTGTGACTTAAAGGCTCATGACCTATCCCACCCGCCTGTCCAGCCTCACCTTTTGCCCCTTCCTGCTTCCTCCACATCATTGTCCAGCCCTGTCATTGTCCAGCAGGTCCCTGAAGAAGCCTTGCTTTCTCCACAGGGTTCCATAGCTGTGTACCTGGGGTTCTCACTTTCTTCACCTAAGTAACTTGTAACTTTTACTCCTCCTGTGGGATTCGATTCATTTCTTCCCCAGGAATCCTTCTCTCGGAAGGTACCCCTCCTACTTGCTCTCACAGCCCCTGAGCTGCTGCCTAACCCCATGGTTATCTCCTGTGTCTGTCTTCCTGACAGAATGTGAACACTTTCAGGCAGAAACCAGGTCTTTTTTCCCTGAGGTACAGCTCCACAACGCAGAGACCATGGGCTATGGAATCAACCAGACCTGTGTTAGAAAACCCAACCTGGAGTTAGACACCCTGAACAAGATAAGACACCCTGAGCATGGTTATCATCTCGGGATCTCTGTCTCATTAACTGTAAAATAGTAACCCTTCCTCATAAGCTGTTGTGAGGATTAAATGTGGTAATAATACCAAGCACTTGGCATGGAGCCTGACACATTGTTGATGCTCAATATTGTTGGATGAAGAAAGGGCAGGAAGAGAGGTTCCAAACAGGCCCATGGGCTTGTGGTCAGTCATGGGAGAGGCCTATGTGGATCTCTATGGCCTTGGCCACCAAGGCGGAGAGACGGCAGAGCTGGATGGAGGTAAGGTTGGGTTCTTTGTCTAGAGAGGAAAGGCTCACTCTGAGCAGGGCCAGGCAGCAACCAGGGCTGACTGGAGCAAGACAAGGAAGAAGGGAAGTGAATGCAGGAGGCCTCCGTGAGACCGCAGCATCTGGCTGTGACACGCCCTTACTGCAGGCTTATGGCCCGCTCAAAGGGGCAGACTTGGCAGGTGCTCAAAGCTGGCATTGGGCATCGGGGAGCACATCCTCACCCTTACCCTGGAGCCTTGGAGAACACCCTTGCCTGGTCCTGGTCTCCAGAGATTTGGTTTCAGGTGCTGTAAGGTAGACCCAGGGTTGGGCATTTTTACAGGCTCCCCAGAGGATTTTGATGCAGGGAAGGCTGAGAACCGCCACTCTAGAGTGAAGGAGCCCTGTGCAGATGTGGGGAAGAAGTGCCACACCTCACAGGCCAAGTGGGTACTAGGTTTGCCCCAGGTGCCCAGACTGTTCCAGCTGATTATAACGGAGGGGATGGATGGTGAGAGTGGCTGCTGCTCTTACCTGCCCTGGGGAGGCCTAGGTTAGCACCGGGGCTAGCCCATGCAACAGATCACGTGGCAGGAAGCAGGAAAGACAGGGGAGGAAAAAATGAGGCTGGGAGGGACACACATTCTCCCTCATCTCAAAATCCCAGCCTGCCTTCCCAGCCCTCCCCAGAGGGGACCAGTTACTCTGTGGGAGGTGGGAGGTTGTTTGGGAGGTGATGGGGTGGAGGAACACCCTTCTTCCTTCATGTTCCCTCCAGTGGCAGGGCGGGGAAGCCAGTGAGGAGCTGCATTTACTTCTTCTGGGGAACAGCTCAGAGATAGCAGTTTAGAGCTCAAGGCCATTATAAAAACTTAAAAAGATTTTTTAAAAATAAGAAATGAATTCCCAGCCAGCTTCAGTGGAATCTTAGTTTGAAGAGGTCATAAAACAAGAATGAGGGGAAAAAAGGAAAGGAGGAAGACTTATTAGAAAATTAGAATCAGCTGACATTTAATTTAAACATGCCTAGTTCACTACTCTGTAGATTTCTACAACCTGTATATTTATTCTTTAAAAAGGCAACTCGGATAGTGCCACCTATTCTAGTTTACAAAGAATAGACTCACTAAAAAGTGGCATCATGAAATGACTTTCAGTAAAAGCTGTCCTTTATTTTAACACCCTGGTCCTCACTAGACCCTACAAATATTTGATGATGCAAACTAGAGCAAAAGTCATTGATCATGAATCTATGCAATTCAAGCAGCCTCTTTCTCAGCCCCAGCCTGCAAGAGAATAAAAAAAGATGGCTATGAATCAGTAAAAAGTACAAGTGAACAAAACCTGCATTTGTACCCCTTAAATTTATATAAATAATAAAAAAGTACAAGTGGCGTCTCCTCCCATAAACTGTCAATTTAGAGGCAAAGCCTGGGAAGGAAAACACATGAAATAAAAAGTAACAGAAGGCAAGAAGTCTATGTGTACTGACTTTAATGTGTGCCCATCTTATCACCCCCCCACCCACATACACCTATGTATGTGCCTATTCCTCTTACACCTTACACTAAAAACAGTTCTATATAAAAACGAAGGCTTTGTGTCAACAAAGCATTCCCCTTCCCCCCCCACTAAGGAAATTTTGTAAAGTGACTCATGATCTTCCTGAAACTCACCTAATTGTAAAAAGACCCAAAATTAAAGGGACTTCCGTTCCCTATGGGCAGAGAAGTGACATCGACTCTTTTAGTTCAATCATCTCTTCCTTTTTGGAAATTAACAGCTCAAGTCTCTATTGATTTAACATTCTGTCCCTGTGATACAGTGGGGGTTTCACACAAGTAATTGAGGACAGGCCGTTCCGTGATTATTGAACCTTTCTCGTCCCTTGTTTTTGTAATTTTCTCTAAATGATAACAGCTCCAATACATCCAAGAATCTGCTAAAGGGAATGGGACCAATGTCTGCGTGTCTTCTTGTACTTTAAAGATATATGTTTAAATGTACTGTACAAATAAGAGAATTTCAGTCTGCGAAATTTGTATTGTGCTTCTGAACCACAGATACTCTTGCAAAAGAACAGGCTCCACAATATGTTAGGACAATAAGCAAGTGACTGGGCGGGGAACAGGAGAGGCATGAATATACTCCTTAATTGTCTTTCCTGAGTCTCTGACTCTGTCTTAGAGTAGTCTGGGAAGTGCTTGCTTGCGATGGTATCAGCTTGCTGTGGTAGAAATTACGACAGTGGCCTAAATTAGGCACCATGACTTCAGCGTTGGGATAAGGAAGAGGAGGGAGGAGAGGTGACCGGAACTGCCATTTAAAGTGCAGTAAATGGAGTAACTGTCGGGACCGATCAATTACTTTGTACAAAATTGAATCTTTAGGAAAGATTCTTCCCTTTGTTTTGAAGAAGGTAGAAGTGAAGTCCTTTATATACCTCATAGTTTTAAGGACCACGAAAAGTCTTCCAAATTATTAGAGCAGGGAAAATAAAGGGAGAAACTTCATTACCCAGGTCACTTAGCAAATGTTCATTGAGAACCTTCTGTGTGCAGAAGCCTGAGCTGGCGAAGCTGGAGAAGCAGCGTCCCCACCATGGACTGGGAAATGGCATGGGTGGAGAGGTCACCCTGACGTCCTGCTGTGCCGTACTTAGATAATGTTTCAGTCTCACTATCATAGGTCAGTAAAAATTTTCTCTGGAATCCTCTCCCCCCACCCCACTACCTTGTCTGGGGGTCATCCCTATTTGGCCCCGGTGGCTGCCAACCTGATCTGGACTCTTCCCTTTCCTTCTCCCCTCCCTGAGTTTATGTCTTCGTTCCTTCTGTCACTTAAACTCTGAGTGGGGTGGTAGAAAGAGCACTGGTCTGCCCTAACTGGCTAAACTTTGACAAGTCATTTTACTTTTCAATTCTCAATTTTTTTTCCTGAAAATAACAATAGTAATTGTCTCATGTTGTCAGAATTAAAACAAATAATACATCTAAAATTCATTATAGCTGACTTTCATGGGGAATGTAGCACATCCTTCCAACAGCCAGTAATGCAGGCATTCTTTTCCCCACTTTCAGTGAAGAAACTGACGCTAAGTGAGACTAAATGATTTGCTCAAGTCACACAACTAGTTCATGGAAGGGTCAGGACCGAATCCTTTTGTGTCTTATCGAAGTCCATGCTAGTAACCACAATACCACACTGCCTCTATAAATGACCTTATAAAATACTATGTCAACAGAAGATAATTTTATTTACTAGAATCACAGCTAATACACAGTACCATTCATTATTAGACAGATTTGAAGGTACCAAAGATCATGTCACTTGTAGGTAAAAAATATGGGACAATTGTTTTACATAGAACCACAGGCTTTTACAGGTGAAAGAGACTTTTGAGATGATCTAGTCTTGTAGTTTCCAAACTCTGCTTCTCAGAGGCCCCACACCAAGCTCTGCTTTGATCTGTTTTAGGATTTATTATTGTTTCTAAGTAGCATTTTTTCTAAAGAATGGTTCTATAACTTTTTTCTAATTCACACATTATCATTTTATAGTGGTCTCTCTTTTTTTTTTTTTTTGGCATTTTAGTGAAGCTTTAAAAGATAAAGAGATTCAAGGTTTCTTGACTTCTGATCCAGGGATCTCTCCACTCCTTAGTCCTATCTCTTGGCACAATGTGTCTAATGTAGTAAAGGATTGATAATATGAAAAATTAAAAATCAGGAAAGACTTTTTGAAAGAAATAGGAAGGCAGTTAGGTTTGGCTGATCTAAGCAAAGGCAGTAGAAGTCTCAACCAGTAGAATATAATGAGGCATGGAAACAAAAATAAGAAAAAAAAGTTTCAAGGGGGCTTGGAAATGATGGCAGCCATGACTATTATGAAGTTGTCTCCTATGGGAATTAAATAGAGAAACACCATCTATGAGGCCCTTAAATTTATTCATTCAATCAACTATCATTTATAAACTGTATGCCAGGCACTGTACTAGGCAGAGGGACCACAAGGTGAGTAAAACAGTGTACCTGCACTCAAAGGACACACAAACAGGTATGGGTTGGCCATGAGGCTGAGGGTTGGTGCAGTGAGAACAATGATAGAGATTGATAAAGAATGCTTGGGGCATTTAGAGAAGGGACATCTCATCCAGCCATTGGTAGAGAGAGGGTGGTGGTCACGAAACTCTTCCTGGAAGACACCACAGGAAAGAGTTCAAAACTAGAGGAGACTGGCATAGCCAAGTAGCCTTGTTATGGCCTTAGGTAGAAAAGAATTTAGTTTCTTTCTCCTTTTTCTGATGAGGCAGAGATAGGCCATCCAGCAAGTCTCCTTGACCATAAGCCACAACAGATCCAAACCCAAACCACATTGTCTCAGGGCTATTACTAACTAAAATTTCTGCTTTCAATTACTGTAAATAGTTTTTTACATTTATTTCTTCTCACAGAAATGAAAACATCTATCCCTCAGAATCAGAGCTGGGTAGCATTTTCCTCAGTGATCACTTAGATCTCACTTCCTTTGGATGACTTTTAAATAAGTGTATGCTGTCATAGCTGTGCTTCAAATCTATTGGATGCTTGAAAGGATACAAAAGATGAACCATACTAGTTATGGAAAACTAAATTGCTGAAGCAAATGGACTCTAAAGTACAAGGGTTCAAACCCAGTAGACATTGTTTGTTTTTTGGGTTTTGTTTTTGAGACAGAGTCTCGCTTTGTCACCTGGACTAGAGTGCAGCAGTGTCATCACAGCTCACAGCAACCTCAAACTCTTGGGCTCAAGTGATCCTCCTGCCTCAGCCTCCCAAGTAGCTGGAACTAGAGGCATGTGCCACCGCGCCCAGCTAATTATATTCATTTTCTTTCTCTCAGTTTATATGAGGAAGACAATAGCTTCTCATTAAAATCTTCCTCATTCATAGGAATAGAGTTGTACCTGGAAGCAATTGCTCCACCTGGAACTAAATTTCCCAGCAGCCCCTGCAGCCATCTGTGGCCATCTGACTAATTTTTGCCAACAAAATGTGAGGGGGAAAGGTGTGCACCTGTCTCAAGTATAGCCCTTTAAGAAAGCGTCCACACCTTCTTCCCCCACCCTTCCTCTAACTAGGCATGGAGAGACATTAAGGCCTTAGGGAAGCCGAACCTGAGATGGAGGGGCTTGAGGCAAGACTCTCCATGTAAGGAGAGTTGCTGCTGACCTGGAATATTCACCCTATTTCATGAACAGTAAACTGAGGTTGAGGCGGAATGATTGCTCGAGCCCGGGAGGGTGAGGTTGCAGTGAGCTATGATCACACTATTGCACTCCAGCCTGGATGACAGTGACCCTGTCTCTAAAAAAAAGAAAGAAAGAAAATGGAAAAAATAAGTTGTCACAGAAAAGCTAAGAAGTAACTAATGCATCTTCAGCTTGTTCCCAATTAGCGAAAAAAAAACAAAACACCAAAATGCCTCTCAGCTCCAGAACAAAAACAAAACCCAAAGTCATAATTATTTGCTTGGCAATAATTAATATCCTTCTTAAAAGCTTCAGATAGAAGCCTACCCATAAATGTAGCAGAACCAGGTGGTTACATATTGCTTGCTAGTTAAAACCCTGATTAGTTTTTTTAAATTAGGGGATCTAACAATGAGATAGTATTAACAGCAGGAAACCATGGGAAGCTGTCAGATTTTTCCAATCAGAGCAATTTAATCATATAAACAAATATTTTTCAATGACTTTCCTATCCTAAATACTTCAAGGTAATATAAAAAAGACCCTGTGACACACACACACACACACACACACACACACACACACACACACACACACACTTATGACTGAAAATAGAAGTGATATAACCCAGTGATACTATTGATTGTCAAATGGATTGTTCAGAAAAGATGTGGGTATGTCAGAAGGCATAGAGAAATGAGGATTTGAGCAGTCCTGAACTGTGGGTGAAATGTTGATAGGCACAGTGAATGGGAAGGCACTACATGTATGAAAGTTCCAGAAGCAGATAAGAACAAAGCATACATGTGGGACAGAGGGGAGATAAAGAAATGAACAGCAGTGACTCTGTATGGTGGAGATTCTCCACGAATGGGGGTGGAAGGGGTGGGGAAATGGGAGTAAACCTGTTCTCTAAGTGGGGATGAGACAAAAAGTAGTGTTGTGTAGCTTAAAAAGATCTGTAGGTAATACTGGTACATGTTTTCATTGAAGCATTTTGGTTTTTTAATTTTTTATTAATTAATTAATTAATTTTTGAGACATAGTCTCACTCTGTTGCCCAGGCTAGAGTGCCGTGGCATCAGCCTAGCTCACAGCAACCTCAAACTCCTGGGCTCAAGCAATCCTTCTGCCTCAGCCTCAATGGTAGCTGGGACTACAGGCATGCACCACCATGCCCGGCTAATTTTTTATATATATTTTAGTTGGCCAATTAATTTCTTTCTATTTATAGTAGAGAAGGGGTCTCACTCTTGCTCAGGCTGGTTTTGAACTCCTGACCTCAAGCAATCGGCCCTCCTTGGCCTCCCAGAGTGCTAGGATTACAGGCATGAGCCACCGTGCCTGGCCACATTGAAACATTTTGAAATACCAATTTAAATGTTGTTTTTAATCTTTTATTGAAAATATTTGACTTAGAATTTTTTTAGGTTAGGGTAAACTTCAAGTTTTGAAGCAACTAAAATATCTTTCAAATGAAAAATAAGATGCCATTTAGCATGACTGTGACTAGTATGTTGTACTTGGTAAATGGACAATAAATAATTGTTATTTAATTAATAAACTGACAAACCCCTTAGGATAGGTTCACAGAATAACTACATGGTAGGCAGAATTCTAAAGGTCATCACCAAGGTTCCTGTCTCCTGGTTTTTCAATCCAATACCAATATAGGAAATGCTATGAAGCAATTTCCAGATATAATTACAGTTCCAAGTTAGTTGGCCCTAAGATATGGAGAGCTCTTTGTCTTTCTTTCTCTCTCTCTCTCTCTTTCCTCTCTTTCTTTCTTTCTTTCTTTCTTTCTTCTTCTTTCTTTTTTCTTCTCTTTCTTTCTTTCTTTCTTCCTTCCTTCCTTCCTTCCTTCCTTCCTTCCTTCCTTCCTTCCTTCCTTCCTTCCTTCCCTTCCTTCTTTCTCTTCTTTCTCTTTCTTTCTTTCTTTCTTCTTTCTTTCTTCTTTCTTTCTCTTTCTTTCTCTCTTCTTTCTCTTTCTTTCTCTCTTCTCTCTCTCTCTCTCTTTCTCTCTCTCCTTCATCTCTCTCTTCTCTCTCCTCTATTCTCTCTCTTTCTTCTTTTCCCTTTAAGAGCATAAGTTTTCAGGCCAGGAATGGTGGCTGAAGTCTGTAATCCTAGCACTCTGGGAGACAGAGGCAGGCAGATTGTCTGGGCTCAGGAGGTTGAGACCAGCCTGAGCAAGAGCAAGACCCTGTCTCAACTATAAATAGAAAGAAATTAATTGGCCAACTAAAAATCTATAGAAAAAATTATCCGGCATGGTCGGGTGGCGCATGCCTGTAGTCCCAGCTACTCGGAGCTGAGGCAGGAGGATCCCTTGAGCCCAGGAGTTGAAGTTGCTGTGAGCTAGGCTGATGCCACGGCACTCTAGCTGGGGCAACAGAGTGAGACTCTGTCTCAAAAAAAAAAAAAAAAAAGCATAAGTTTTGTCTGGCTGGTAGCA